AATCTCAATAATATCTCTTTTAAACTAACTACTTCAAAGTAGTAATTTAATTATATTTTGTAACCAACTAAAATCTAATAACATGGCTCTCACTATATTGTATAATAAGTTATATATTAAATATATATGTACATTATTATTACATGATAGCCAAACCACAACATGATAACATAATGACAATTCATTAATTCAACCAATCTAGGAGTTTCAAGAATTTTTTAAAAAATATCATTTTTCTATTTTTTTATTTTTTTTTATCAATAAGTTCATGAAATATTATCCAAAAAAAATTAAAGATGAGAAAGTAATAATAATATTCATATACATCTTCATTTTACTAAAGATGCCAATAGAAGACGTTATAATCTTCTGACTTCTGATAAGGTTGTAGTTGTTGTGCCGAGGAATGAAACAAAGTCAAAAGAAATGAGAGATATAATTGTTTGATAGAGAAAAAGTTGCATTACAACAAATTTATGAAGGAAATCTTACATACTTATTAATATATGATAATTATTTCTATGTAGAGAATTAAGATGGCATGACCAAATAAGATATAAAGATATGAATGCCAATAAAGATGGAAATAAAAATACGTGAAGTATATGTATTATTCAAATATAATTTTATTCATATTAATTTTTTCCACAATATAATGAATATACAACTATTTTTCAAGATGAAAAGTTGTTATAAGAATTTTTTGTGGATGCTTAAGTAGCAATATAGCATACCTAATTGAAATAATTTAGTATGAATCAAGATAGATTACATGCAAATATATATCAAGGATTGGCAAATATTTTTGAAAATGTATAAAATCAAAAAGTTGACAAAAAAAATTTAGAATAGAAGGTAATGCTTTCATTGTTTCATATTGGAAGTATAAAAAACCTGCTTGAGATTTTTTAAGATTATAAGGCCATTATTCAATACTTTCAACATCCAAATCTATTTGATACAATAATTACAAATTTGTAATGGTTAGAGATCTCAAATGCACTCTTTTTGGAACAAAGGTTCAAAAATCGTCTCGACTTTGACCTTAAGTGTTGTGCATTCATTGAGTATTAAGAAGAATATTTGAACTTAAGTAATGTGTATTGATTGAGGATGATTATAAATATTACATTTTAAAACATACACTAGCAAGAATTCATACTATTAAGTTTCAGAAGCAAGGTCTTCCATACATATATTTTTAACTATTTTTTGATTAAAATAATAAAGTAAGAAATTTGGCCAATGTTGATAGGATTGTTTGTACAAAGTTTCTTATTAAAAAAGAAGATCTAATGTTATTTGAGATAATTAACACTTGCATGATTTATGGTCAATGTGGACCTCAAAATATCCAAGCTCCATGTACAAAGGATAAAAAATATCAAAAGAAACATCCAAAAGAATATCAAGAAGTAACATCAATGGATAGTAATGGCTATTTCCAATATCAAATAAAAAATGGTAGAAGGATTTTCAACATTAGCAACAATATTGTAGACAATCGAGATGCTATTCCATACAATCTTATTCTTGGCAGACAATATAATTCTTGAGCAATCCACCACTTTATGTATGGATTTTTTTAAGCTCACTAATCCATACCTTTTCTTTATGCCACAATTTAGTATCATTTGATTTTCTTATAAATAAAATTGAGATGGTCATTTATTTGATTTTGAACCGATTTTGATAGTAATATATTCTTTGAAATATATACAAATTTAGAGAGTTATATTATCTTCTTATCTTTATTCATTTATTATTTTGATAAATCGAGACTTTTTATTCACCTATTACTATCATTTTTTTGTTCTCTTCTATCTTTTATTCTTGTGAATGTTTAGGATCTTTAGAGATACAAGTTTTCCAACCTCATAGCTTTTTACCAACATTTATTCATTAAGAATAAAACATCACATGATGCATGTAAATTGTTGATTGATATTTTATTATTCATGACTTTTTACAAAAGTTTGTTTGTTTGGTACAATAAATCAAATGAAGCATATGGATTGTTGCATGATGTTTTGCTAAAGCATATATATCCATTTTATGTTTTATATTTCTATTATTGCAAATTGTTATTAAGTGCAACAATCTCAAAAATCTCTTCTACTACTATCACCAATCAGATATAATTCTTATATAAAATACAAAATATATTTGATATAATCTTGTTAAAAAACCAAAGAACATTCATTCAATATCATCAATGCACAAATAAACAAATACAAACAAGTGAGTTTCAGCAAACTATCTACAAAAACCAAAATCAATGCATCAATAGAGTGTGTAAAAAAACCATTGTGGTGCATGCCATAGCTTGCAGTAGCTTATGAATAAGATCTCAAAAACGTCCCAAAAATTCACAAATAAGATCATGCATATTTTGGTTTGTTTGTTTGTTTGTTTGTGGGATCAGATAATTACCAAGTCAGAACATGAGTAGCGAATAAAATAATTGGTTTATATGAAATATTCTGGACCGGATTTTAATTCATTAAAACTCAAACGCCCTCACAGTTACCAGACCATGCCTGGATCTGGGCTTTAGAACCACTAAAGCAGCTACGCGGCGATTGAAAACACACAGACTAGAAACAGCGAAGTCCGCTATGCTGTCGGCGGACGCCGATCGACAACGCCGTGCCTAGATCGATGAACCAGGCAACGCGTGCACCCCAACTGGAGAAACTCACTCGGACCTCAGATTATTGTTAAACGGCTTCACTAGCATGCACTAGCACATCGAGAGAATTCAGCTGTACAAACATCACTTATTTATATCATCCCGAAGAGCATTCAAAGATTTTTGAACTGTAGGGCAGGGACGTTTCAGTCGCTGCGGTGGGTATCATTGCTCAGATGCCCCGGCTAACAACTGTAACCGTTGCAGCAACCAAGGTTGCTGCATTTGGTCGGGCACCTGGTGGTCATGTAGTAGTCGTTTATGTAGCACCACTGTCCGTTAAAATGGATTCTGTTCCAGTAGTTGTTGCCACCCACGCTTCTGCCCACGGCTTGGCAGCCAATGGAATAGATGCCTCCTGATGGCACTGTTACGTAGGATCCTGATCCTGGGCCACCGTACCAGCATGGGGCTGATGATTTCATTCTGCCACTGGTGCAAGCGCAAGCGTCTGCAGGAGCAGCGAAGAAGGACAGCGCACCGAGCGCCAAGATGAGTATGATCAGGGCTGCGAACCTAGGGGATATGCATTAAGAATATAGTCATCTCACATTCAGCAAGTGTCATAAGAATGCGACGAGATTCATTGCGTAAGAGAAGAAGTGTGCTTTATTAGAATCAGAGAAGAGTGTCCTTGCCCATGCAACAAGGTAATTTATCGTGCTGCAAACCTGGCTTGGTGTAGAGACGTCATCTTAGAAAGTGTATGTGCTACTGCTGGCACAGAACTGTGGGTTGTAGGAAGTGTCAGAGAGCAATGGAGCTGGATGTGATGATCTGAACCCTGTCGAAAGCCGATATTTATACTTGTACCAGGGTTTAAGTGACAATGCAGCTAGCAAAAAGAACGGCGGAAATAGCGAAGGGTAATTTCTTGAAGGATAAGTCGACATAGTTTCAAGTTGTCTTCCCTCGATTACGGTGCCCAACCTCGACGAAAATCTGTCAAATTGGACCACGTTTTCACAAATTTTAACCTGCTATCTTGGATCGCAGAGAAAACTTCTATTGTTCACCAGGAAGGTGTCGAAGCGTAGAAAATTGGAGGGAGTGCACTTGAGTTGGTAAACATATGTTGTGCATAGGCTCTGTATTCATGTTGCATTCACAACACAAGGGAAACCTTTTCAAATGGAGAGGCCTGGCTTCGTGTCCTTAGATCCTGTAGAGTTAGTGGAAATGGCATAATAGTTCAATCTTGTATCCTCGACTAAATTATACACTTGTCTATGAAAACGTGGTCCCGTTGAAAAGGTTTCTCATGTGTTGAATGGGACCACGTTTGAAAACGAAGCCTACTCCTCGTTCCTGGAAGGGAAGCTTCTTTTAAACGTGAAGTCATCAAGTTGTCATTTACTAGTATTTAAGACTTGATGACTTCACGAACAGTATTTAACTGCATGCGTATGGAGCGACCTCGGCTGAAATAGAAAGGCTGAGGGCTCCTTCTCCACAGCCTTACGTGTACTTTCCATAAATTGTTCCAAACCTTGAGCAGAGATACCACAACGGAACTACACCTGGCCTAATGCATATCCTCGAGTGACTTCTGCTTATCCCTTCGTAACTGCGTCGACTTTGCAATATCAATGCCATTGAGATTGCTTCACGAAGGAATCCAAACAAGTCCTTTGTGTGCCCTTTTGTTCAACCAGACATTGAATAAAAAGACACGGAGCTCTCGTTTAGATTTCCTTACGAAACAATTTCAAAATTATTACTTTGTCTACAAGTGATGATTGTTACGCGTCGTTCCTAGAACAACGATAAAGCAGTTCATTTCTTGAAGATAACTTAGAGTAGTATGCAGAGTCTTCTTTCACAGGAAGTGCCGTCATTTAAAAGTAAAACAAAACACTTACTCAAAGAATGGTCTCGTATTAGTTGGTGGCACCAATATGAACAAAGTATTCTGCACTTAAAAACCAAGCAGACTGACCCTTGTTTGAAACTACTTTCTGTGTCAGGACCCATCGCTACGGACAGGCTCTCCCTATCTCAATACGGTGACTTTCAATTTATCTGTGTTTCAGAAACTGAATAGGACAAAATTGAAATCCTGTCGTTCAGATTGGAAAAATCAAAATTAAGAATTCAGCACAGGAAAAGCGATTGCACTCTGAATGCTTGTAGTGTAATCAAAAGCATCACCAAACGGATGATTCCGATTCCCTGCAGAATATTGAATGTACCCACCACATCCATGCAGATGCTATGTATTGCCTGTTCTACCCATCCTTCCACTGCCAAAATGTTCGAGACTATAATATGGTGAGTGTCTTCTTCCAGATCAAGATGCAATTTAGCATTGATATAAATGGCCTGGCAATTACAATCCAGTACAGCTGTCCACTTATGTAGCCAATCATAAAACCTCTCTTCTGATTTCATTGCTGATCCAGAACTGATCCAAAACACTCACAAGAATGGATTCAACACACAGCTTTTACCAGCAGATAAGACACGTGGAAAAGAAACGGATGATTACACTATTTTCATAGGGAAAAGGTGTAGAAATTGCTTAATTTCTAAGTCGAACTTCTCACCATTTCAGGAGTTGGAGGCATCACATATTCCAACGCAGTTACGAAGTCTTCATCTGTATCAATCTCATAAGCGTCATTTTTAGCGCTACCAAAGGCAGTGTCGACCTGGGCCCTTACATTCTCGGCAGCTGCTGCAAGTGGAGAGATATTTTCAGCATCAGTTAAGCTCCCACTGGACGCAAAGGGAGATGGGATGAGTTATTTAAAGATATGGTTCGACGAATAGGCCTAACGAGTAAGGTTGTCAGAAACACTCGCTCTAACTCAATTATACAAACTGTTCGAAAGAAAAGCATGATAGGTTCTGAAGGATGAAAGCATGAAACAAAATGCCCGAAAAACAGGAGTATAAGTCTCCCGGTATTCAAGACTTTCTATGTACCTTAATATCCTAGACGTGACCTCTGCTACTACAAAACCCACATCAGGACCTGGATAGCTTTTATGACAACACATGGGCACACGAATTGAGCAAGAATTTTTCGAAACAAGTTCCTTGCCCATCTTGTAAATAAATATAAACAAAGTAAGAAAATAAAAAATAAAAAAATCGTTTCCAGCAAGAAAAGATGCACCTCACGTAACAAGACAAGGTCAATACAATGTTCTTGTTATCTCAACAAATAGGACTGAAACACATGAAATTGCATTAGACGTATTACGGAACAAATCTTGAGCTTGAGAAGAAGGAAACGAAAAACAACAACACCAGCATATTAGAAAACCCGACACAAAATCAACAGGATCCATTGAAATGATACAAGAACACTAGATTTGAAATAGTTCTGAATCTCGTACCCGGTTGCAGTGGGAAACTTCTGCTGTGGTGATAAGCACATTACAGCTAATACGAAAAACTATCGATGCGCTACATTTGGGCATCCTCCGCTTCCTCATTCTCCGAGTGTATCAAGGTGATTCACCTTTTCCAACAGGGGAGTACAAATGTTATACTTGCAAGATGTGGTGTCCAGTTCAGACTCTTGAGGTTTTTAAACTGTTAGTTTCTCGAATTAAAATTCTCGTCCAACAAAGGCAATTCAAGGCACGGCTCACTCTCAACAACTTGGCGGAAGGCGAGGTAATCCAGACGATCCAGCAGGAGTGAAGCAATAGAAAGTCGAGAGAAGGGATGTAAGAAGCGGAGCTACGGCGACGAACCTCGCAAATTCCTTTGCAATGGAGGTGTTGAGGAGCCATAGCCATGTTCTGAGGCTAGTAAAATTATGCCATGGCCCTCACCCACCCGGCCCGGTATATTGCACGGTTTAAAAGGATACCGAGTGGGAAGGACATGTCTCATCCACAGAATATGTTGGGATTTTAGGTCTGTTGTTTCACATTTATTAATTAATTATAATTTCAAAAAACATATGAAAATTTCTTTACATACATGTCTATTATTTATTCTTTAATATTCATTGCATAATTTTCAAAAATCATACCATAAATTTTGATAGGATTTATATTAAGGCTTATTCTAAGATTCTTATGCAAAAATAATTTAGCATAATTTATAAACCATCTTTCTAGTCTTACTAAAATTATACAAGCCTTCAATTTATTTTATTACCATCTCCTATGCTGCTATTCCATTTTCTATATCATTTTATTTTTAAAATATATACTTTTTTATTTAAAAAATTTGTTCAATTTGCCAAAAAAGTTGATTACCACATTTTTTTAGACACATATTTTTCTCAATATAAATCCATTTAATATATGCACTACATTCAATCATATATATGTTGCTTAATTTTTTAATAAACTCTTATCAAATATTGAGTCAATAATATTAAAAAATAATATATTTTAATATTTTTAAGAGTTAAACATGTGGTTGCTTTTTCATATTATATTAAACAATAAACTTTTCTATCAATGATTGGCATGCATCTAAGCTTTTTGATCACACTTCCAAATGATTATTGATTATTCTAATATATATATATATATGATATGTTATCTTTTATTACCGCATTTTTGTAGTGATTTCTAATATTGCATACCGCCTTGAGCTTTTGCCACATATTCAAATACATCCAATCTTTTATGTTTTGCAACTCAAGGAATTTCATACTAAGCCAATGCACTTTCTAGACCAACACCAACGACTACCACCACCTATTAAGGACACAAACTGGAAGAAGATGCATAAAGTCATGGAATTTGTGTCAAAAGAAAAGTGACAAAATAGAAGAAATTATGTATATTCAAGGAAGAACTAGAATGGCTATTGCCAAAGACTAGAAAATATAAGACTCTTGAAACTAAACTAAAAAGCAAAAAAAGGAATTGACAACAATAAAAAAAGCCTCACTCTTGCCTCTATATATAGTACTTAACTAAGGAATATGTAGCAACATGCTATAGGACCTCTAATATGCGTCCAACTTACAAGATACATGTCTAATCTGCAAGGCAAGTTTCCTAGGTGTGCGCCATATGTCCAACTTGTACTACAAGTGGTCAATATGTCGATACATGGCCTCCTTATTGGCCAAATTTTCAACCTATTAATGTCCTATAGACATGTATAATGGCAAAGCAACATCTATGAAGATTTTAAGAAGCTTTCCACAAGATATTATCATATTTATCTACTTTAACTTATTTCTATCTATTCTTATTATCCAAATAATTATCAAGATAAATATGTATGTCTGTGACATTACTTCCCCTTCTAAGAATGAGTTCCATGAGGAGCGGTGATTACATGTAGATGAAGTCCAAGATGGGCCCAATTATATTTACCACATATTCTAAACTTTATTCTCTTTGAAGGTACTTGATAGGTCCTTTCAATTGTCAATAATGTCTCATACCAGGGCAAGAAGATCACCCTGATATTTGATCATTATTGAGGCCTTCATAACTTTTTTTTAAAAAAATATTAGTAATACCATCAAGAGTGGTTCCTATTTCCAAAAGTATCACTAAACACCGAGAGTTCCTTCTAAGGTCGTGGTACTAAACATGTTGTATCTTGCCATCTATTCAAGAAAGAAATTGTTATTCTTGAAGGTCTTCATCTCAATTTTACTGTCTCAAAGATTTGACAGTCGTAATATGTCATCTGGTAGCTCAGCAAATGATAGCTCTTAAATTGAATCTATTGGTTGTTGGTTCTCTATCTCCTAAGTACTAAAAAATCAAGAAAAACAATGATACAAGATAGAATAAAATCTCCATTGGACTTGTTTTACTTTATAGCAAAGAATTTCTTGACTCTTTATAGAATAGGTAAATAAATTTTGTGGTAAGTTACTAGTTGGTTATTAACAACTTTGAGAACTAGACTTATGGTTAAGTAGTTTAGTTGGTAATAGTAGGTTGTTAGTAGAATAAATGGTTAAGAACTCAAAGATTCATAACCTTTGGAATCTGCTAGCAGACGGTCCATCTTTTGGTAGGATAAAGAGGTTGATAAAAGAGAGATTGGGGCTAGAGTGTGAGAGTCGTAAGCCAAGATAAGCTTGGTGCTACCTCTTTATTTTTATTTTTTTTATTATTTACTTATGAAGAATTATGATTAAGAGAAGTATTGTTGAAATTGTGATTAGAATATTGTCGAATATGACTTTGGACTGACTATTTTGGAAAAAATCTGTGACCATGAGAATTGAGATTATCGAATTGTGTTGTGTTAAGTAAAGATATTGAATTTTGTGTGATGAATTGAGAAATTGAATATAATAAGTAAGCTAGAGATTAGTAATTGAATATATATAAACCACAAAGAGAGTAAGTGGAAGATGAACTGATAAGAATATGGAAGTATTATTGAATTGATATTTGTAGAATGGATTATGTGTTGAATTAAGATGGAAGTAGTAAGCCTTGGTGTTTTGTAGTTTGATAATTGATTTCAGATAGCTAGAGTACAGTCAATTGTGACACTAACAGATCCAATTCATATAACTAGTCTTTCTCAGTGTTCAAACCCACCTCTATTAGTCCAATTGTTTTGGTATATTGAAGCTTGAATACAATGAAAACAACATTTTGGTGCCATTGCTAGGGAAATGATAACAATATGAAATGCTAGGAATTGATTGTATGGGAGATGAAATTATATGTTGAATGAGAATGTCAGAAAAACCAGTTTTAGGATTATAAATATGTGGGTTATAATTCAAGGAGGTATTGATTTTGTAAAGAAGAATGAAAGATTATGAGTGATAATCATGAAGGAGAGGATTATCAAAGAATTAATCGAAAAGCAAAAGAAAGATCCGAGTGATTATGCATAAGAAATCTCCTATAGGAACGACAAAAAGGAATTGTAGGTCCAAGTAAAACCAAAAGAAGAAAAATTCAAATTCAAATAGTAAGGAGATCAGTGATAACACCAATGGCCTCAAGAGTGCCAGAAGTATCAATTGCGGTACAAATGGGAGCAGTAGGAGACCGCACTATAAGTATGGTACCATTACCTACTTTTAGTAGTTGGCTGGGCTCTGATCTTGATCACCATATATCTCAATTCTTGACAGCCTACATAGCTAATAATGGTAGAACTAAAGATATTTAGTTGAAATGGTTGCCAACAACTTTAAAAGATATAGCTTTTGAATGGTATAATCGGCAATTAGTGGATAGATTTCCCAATTGGGAGGCCTTGAAGAATGCTTTTCTAATCCATTTTAGACCAATTGGATTTGAAGATCGGCTTAGAGAAAGTTTTATGAATAGCAGGATGTTTACGAGAGAATCAATAGAGTCGTAATATGGCCGAGTTGCAGATATACTTCGTAAATTATCAAATAATCAAATGCTAGATTCATTTATATTGTCAATATTAATCAATGGTTTGCATCTACCAGAATTGAAACTATTTGTAAAAGAGGCTCGATCAGCTACGATAGAAGCATCGTTGGCAGGAGCAAAGGTGTGGGAAGAATGTTATTATGACCAATTGTTAACAATGGAGGCCACGATGATTCCAAGTTTAGGAAGCCAATAAATATAACTGAAAAATGTGTCGATGGGTAATTATCCACAACTGGCTACCTCCAATGTGAAGAATGTTATGTTACAAAAACCAATTAATGCTATCCCATTCCAAGCAATAGTGCCAATAATAATGACACCTTATTTTACATCGCCAACCTATCAACAATTGGAGTTGTTCACAAATGCGACTGTTAAAGATCCAAATGAAGCTTTGTTATTAAATCTAACAAAGAAGATGGAAGAATTGGCCGTGAATTTGGCTAAAGATAAGGAGAAACGATATAAGCCTTCTAATACGAGACCTAATGTATGGTGTAATAATTGTAAAGAACAAAGTCATTTTGATATGAAATATCCATCACCTAGACAAACAGGTGTTCAATGTACATTTTGCGGAGGAAAGCACCCTATCCAAAACTGCGGACATTTACAAAGGCAACAATAGTTCAATAATCAGATGTTAATACAACCAACTCAATGGACTCAATTATGGGGCTATCCAATTGAGGTCCTGACATGGGCTCTTTACTCAATATAAGATCTAAATTGGTTGTGCACCTTAATAAGGTACCGATTATGGAGGCTTTGGTTCTGTTTCAAGCTGTTCTGTTCTCTACACAATTTTGGGAAACGTCCTTTCCGTTGAAAGATCCTCTCAGAGGCGTGAATTCCAAGGAACCAATATCAGCCGAATTGGAAGAACAATCTTACCTGTTGAAAGAACCAATTTTACAGGCTCCGTCAAATTTAGTTCCAATAGCTTTACCAATTTCTAATATAGAAAAAACCAATTTACATGCGTCAATGTCTAGGACAGGGAAGAAGAAACGGATATTGAGAATTACCACTAATACAAAATCCTATGATATTCTAAAAGATTTGGACACCATATAGTCCACAATCTCTATGAAGCAACTATTGGCAGTAGCACTTGAGTGCCGAACTATCTTGAATTCTTCATTAATTCATCGCAGATCTCAAAATAAAGAAATCCAAGAAATAATTTTGAATCTCGATCTAGGTGCACCAACGATTAATGTCTCAATTGTTGGAGTATTAGTATCGGGAGTGCAAATAGATGGAGGATCTAATGTAAATCTAATGAATGTTGCTACAATAGAGGAGTTGGATTTGGATCACTTATTGCCTACTACAGTGGTTTCGAGAATGGCTGACTCTAGTCGAGTTAAATCTATGGATATTTTACGAGGTATTGATACAGTAATTGCAGGGATTACCTACAAAATTGATTATATTCTTTTTCGA